ATGATCTCAGTAAGTTGGGAGGGGATTCCATACGCTCGTAATATCTTCCAGAGGCGGTGCCGGTGTATGCTGTCGAAGGTCTTGGTAAAATCTACAAAGTTCACATAGAGTTCGCTGCCATTCGGTACTCTGTTCAATGATATTTCTCAGCGTGAAGATATGATCAATACAACCCCTTCCTCTCCCGAAACCCGCGAGAACAGGCAGGACAACAGGATACATTGTACTTTTAACCCATTGACTCCTGGAGCTTTTTGCCAAAAAGGCATTTTTTGGACATTTTGGAGATTTTCAGGCTGGATATGGGCCAAATTAGCTCCAATCTACTCAAAAAGGCATTTGCAACATGACAGCTGCCTTTCTTTCCACTAGCATCGTCTTTTACGATATTTTTGCTCGGGCATGCGCAGAAATCAAAATTTTGGACGAGAAAGTGACCTACGTCTTTAGTATTTTCGATTTTTTTAATTTTTTTTTCGCCTTTCCTTTTTCTCCTTTTCTCTTCTTTTTGCTGCAGTGATTGACCTTCCACTGAGCTTGCTTCCAGTTTAAAACAAAAGCATCACGTGTAGTGGCAGGAAATTTTGCTCTAAGTTTTTCACTCAACTTTTTTAGCATTATTGTGCATATCTCAGGCTCCATTGGGCCGATCACTCTGATCTGGGTATCATTGGAAAGATCTTTTCCTCCTGCAGAAGTTGAGCATAGATGATGGCAATTTTGGTCAAAGGTGATGACGTCAGAAGTGGAAGAAAGGCCAAGGTTCGTTACAGCCGGTTACGGCCGGCACAGGAGTAAATGGGTTAAAAACACTCCAAGATGAGAAGAAATGACACCAAACAATGTTTAAAGAGTGTTTATTCACTGAAATACCCATACATTGATCGATTTTAAATCAAAAAGATTAAACGTTCCAAATCTCCATACAAACTCTAACAATACACTTGGGTAACCTGTGGTTCCGACAAGGTTAAACCCTGCTATTTTGGACTCTCAGGGGAAACAAGAAATAGTTTGAAATAGCAGGAGTTTGAAATAGCCAAAAGTAAATGACTGAAGGGCAGATCCAAGGGTAAAGGTTTTCAGTTTGAAATAAAAAAGGAAGTGGAAATAACCAAGTTCAAATTAGTGGAGTTTCACATCATTCGCACCATTCTGGTACTTTATTTACGGCTCTTTGAAAGAAGCATTCTTGTTTGGTTACTACATTACAGGACATGGGTACAACCATGCAACAATGAGACGTTGAAGAAGAGGGTAAAGGGTATCACAGATTACTCTTTCACTGTTTGTTTTTATTTTCAGTTATCAAACAGAGTAATTTTTACCTCCAGTTCCATCTCCTCTTGTGAAATCTCCTCCTACAAAAAAATCCAGTAATGCACATGTAGCTCAGTAATGTTACAACATCTACACTAGTTTTTGAAGCTCTGTGCTTGTACTGTATCTATTTTAAAGCAGAAATAAGAGATTGAAAATCAATTTAAGCTGCAATGGCGAGGTAAAATGTTGTTTGCGCACGGCACAAATCATAGTAAAGGTGTTCTCATTCTTTTCAATGAAAACCTCCAAATTGATATCATGCACGTGCTGAGGGATAGCGAGGGCCGATATATCTTTGTGGAAGCACTCGTTCAAGATGCACCTTTCATTCTCGTAAATTTATATGCACCGACGAGCAATCAGGAGCAATGTGTTTTCTTTGATGGTGTTGCTAATACTCTAGAAAATTTGGTTCTGGACCATAACTGCCAAATCATTATTGGTGGCGACTTTAACAGCCATCTCGACCCGAATCTTGGTAATTTAGGAGGAAGAATCGAGTCCAAGCCATCTGTTGAAAAAATCAATGAGATAATGACAGCAAATGACCTCATCGGCATTTGGAGAATTCGTAATCCTGAAAAAAAGTAATTTACTTGGATGCAGAAAAAACCCTTAGTAAGACGACGCTTGGATTACTGGCTCGTTAGCACGGAAATTCAAGATGATTTAACCGAAACAAATATAATTCCTGCCATTAAGTCGGATCACTAGGCAATTACTCTAACGCTTAATAGTTTAGATAAACAAAAATTTNATAATGATAATGATAATGATAATGATAATGATAATGATAATGATAATAAAAATAAAAATAATAAATGAATGTATAAAGTTATTGGCGGCATGGAGAGCGGAGTTTAAGTTTAATGTTTTAGCATCGTTTGTGTTCGTTTCTGCTATGAAAAATGGAGGCTTCACCTGCAATTTTTTAACGCTTTTGCGCAAGGTAAAGTGAACACCGAACAGAGCAACGACTAAATGCCCACTCCACTGCAGTCTACTCAAAGGATCGTGCTTACCAACCAAGCGTATTACCGCTGCCCGTATATCGACAACTCACATAAAGATGGCGGATAAGCTGGTCGTCGTTGCCATACTCACTTTCAGCACAAAAAGTGTCTCTTGCGGTTTAAAGATAGCGGAAACTGTCTAAGTTATATTAAGACGAGGTTATAGGAATAACAGAAGGCTAATTTATAACGCTATAGAATTTTGCACGATGGAGCTGTTAGTCATTTCGTCCGTATTGCTTGGTCTTTGGATGACCTGGTCTTTCTGGGCTCACATGAAGTACAAGTGGAGTAACTTACATGCCTTGAAAGCCCTCGCTGGATTTCAGTTGACTGCAAACACCTGGAATCTGACTATTCACCTTTTGTTGTTGATTCCTTGGCCATTTTTGGGATATCTGATAAACCCAGGAGATTTTTTGTGGAAAGTGGACCCCATCATTTGCCGATTGATCACGGCGATTCAGGAAATTTCGTCTTTAACGTGCGTTGCAAACGCAGCTGGTATTTTTGTGACAAATCAGGGAAAAGATGAACTTAAAAAGGAAAGAAAACGCAAGATGGCCTTTCTCCTCGTTTCTGCAATCTCGATTATGAGCGGACTATCTGCAGTAATTTACACAAAAATCGTACCTCTCCTGAAACATGGCACCATGAGCGGAGCAAACTGTCCTTCACATTCGTTTTCAGTGCTCTGCGGGTTGATCGAGGTTAAATGTGTCTTTATTATCTACGTGGCGTGCTCTGCGATTTTGTTTTTTAGCAATCCCTCATTCACTGGCTCAAGGGCAAAACACATTTTAAAGATCTTTTTCAAATGCTTATCCATAACATACCGCCTGACTGCAACTTGTGCCCTAACGCTCGCTGTTATGTTCATGCCATTCTATTTTCTTGGTGGATCGTTATACAGTGTTACTTTCAACACAGTCAAACTGTATTTCGATGTCGTAACTCTTGCAGTGGTTATAGGTTTTCCTGCGTTTTTCCACTCAGATGTTGACATGCGGTTCAGTACATCACAAACTGTGCAATCATATCTCTTGGACCAAAGTCCAGACAAGGAACAAAGAAAAGTAAAAATAAGGATAAAGACACATTCACAAAAAAGTTGAAAAAAAAAAAAAATTTACTGTCAGTGAATCACTTTGAATGTTCATATTCTAAATGTAAAATGCTTAATATATTACGAATAGAGATCTTCACATTTTTTGTTGGCATTGTTGCATGGCATAGTTAGTAGTAATTTAAAATATTTAGAAGTCTGGAACAAGATTATCTGTCTAAACAGTAGCCATATTATAGCATTTTCAAGTTTTCCCCAAATTTTAGAGTAATGTTTTCATAATTTATTAAAGTGGCCAAGATAAGACAAAAGTGTGTGAGTTATCTGAGTATTTCATTAATAATATTATCAAATGTTCATAAATTATGTCTACATAATATTCCCAAATATTTTTATTAAAAAATTACAAAAGTAGTAAATCCATATATTAATTTCATTATGCATTATTTACAGACTGCAAAAATTATATTGTGATCTCTCGTTGCAAATACCAGTAAATTGGAACGAGAGATTCATTTTTACATAAAATATTCTTGTGCTTTTTAAAGGTCGGCACACATGAGGGAACTAGGTAGTCCCTGCAGCTAGTCCCTGCAACAAGTTGCGGGGACAAGTCCTATCGTGTGAACTGGCCATTTTTGCTTCAAAATCTAGTCACAAGGGACCAAAGTTTGGTCCTTGCGACTAGTCCCACCAATTCAAACCAGTTTGAATGTTTGGGACAAGTCCCTGTGACTTGTTCCTCAAAACGCTTCGTATGAAATGTTCGTGGGACAAGACCCTGCGACCAGTCCCTTTGTGTAAACTCTTCAGGGGACTAGTTGCAGTCCCCTCGTGTGTGCCGACCTTAAGAGCAAACAGAAATTGCCAAATGCGTGGGTTATGTAGCCATTTTCTTGTGAAAGTCTGATTTAGTTTGTTTGAAAAACAACTTTTCCATAAACTACAGTTCTTAGAAGGCTTAAATTTTCATTAAATAAAAGCAGATCTGCCCTTTTGCCCACTTCTGTTCTTCCAGTGTGGGAAATCTTGGCAATTCTGAAACCAAAAATTTATGTAAAAACACATTTCGGTATACAATTTATTTCGTTCTGTTTAGAATAAAAGAAATATGTGTATGCTGTAAGATAGCTATTGTCTTGTTATTCTTGCATTTTTGAAGACATCCATGTATTGAAATAACAGAATGCTGCTGAAATATGTCACAATCAAACCTCTTCTTCGAGATAGCTTTTGCAAAATAATACAGACACCTCTATAATGTACAGACCAAAAATCTGTATAACCTACAGTACATGTAGCCCTGTCCTATATTTACATTTAAATACAGTTGAGCCGCACTATTTTGAACTCTCAGCGAAATTGAAAAATAGTTTGAAATAGCAGGAGTTCAAAATAGCAGATAATAAATAACTCACTAAAGAACAAATTCAAGGGAAACGGTTGAAATAACGAGGAATTTGAAATATCTAACCAAATCCAAATTACTGAGGTCTGACTGTATAGGCTTGACTATGTTATTTGTCTACTAAAGTACTGTTCTTGGCAGGAAGGTGTTATGAATATAGACAATAAACAACAACGGATATTAATACTTCTCAAAACTATCAGTAGAAGACTTGCGATAATTTATGGTAAATATAGCAATTGGAAAGGAGAATTTATATTTTTGTCTTTGAACCAGAAAGTTACAAGTGAATGGTTTTCGAATTACCTGGCAGGATTCTCTGATAACATTGCCACGGCTTTACCTATGGGGACTCCAAAAATGTTCAACAGCAAATGAAATGTATCAAGCAGAGTGCTGCAACTACCAGCCAAGGTGTTTGTTCCAATAATTGACATGGTGCGACCACTGGGAGACACTTGCACTAGATGAACATACAGTGTATGGAAATGATTGGTTACTACTAATTAACAGTAACTGACTGAATGTGATTGCTTGCTAGTCCCCATGTGGGCACAGCACTACATGATCATCAGAATTGTAAAATGGTGCTACTAAAGAGAGAATGGGGGCATTGATGGTGGCCAATTGGTTTCTGGATTGTGCAATCCAAGGTCTAGTGCTGGCTGGAATCACTGTGTTGTACTTTTTTATTTTTCAAGACAGTTAACTTGTACAGTGCTTGATCTCTCTCCACCCAGGAGTATTTTTAATTATGGTACTGACAATTCAATCAGTTAAGGATAAGCACCAAATTACAAGCAAGTGCTTAAAATACATTAAGGAGTATGGAGTAAGCTTACTTTGTCTGTTTCCATACTTGATAATTGCTCCAGGAAGTCAGTTATGAAAGCAATGTTCTTAAAGTGACGGCTCTTCAGCAGCAATGATATTGTTAGGGGATCTCTGTAAATCAAAGGGAAAATGATAGAAATTATGTCCAGTAACCTCAGTAAAACCGTGCAAATCAAATGCATGGGATTGCAAGACAACTTGCAACAGTGACTTTAAAGGGTTTGACTCAGGAGAAGACATTTCTGTTCAGATCCCACAAGGAGTTTACTGTACTGAGAAAGAACCTTACAAGCAAATTTGGCTTACACATGAGCTAAATCTCCAATGATTTCCACTGTGGGAGTTTTTATGCCTCTGTACTTTGGAAGGTTTGGCAATTCATCCAGGACTCTAAAGTTGACCAGACCTGGAGATCTGAGAGGAAACTCAACAGGTAAACAAACAAATGAATAAATAATTGCATTAAATAAAATAATAATAATAATAAATAAATTTAATAAGCCTGTCTGTCTATCCATTCATTCTTTTGTCTGTCTGTCCATAAGTGGATAGGTAGAGAAGCAACTAAATATATTTATCTATAATTTAAAGTAAATAAAATTAATGTTGCTCTTGTTTAATGTGGGTTATACTCAATAGTCTTGTATCTAAGGTTGCTGTTTATACCAGACCATGCCAACTGAAAGTATTGATTTGCAAAGAATAAAAAACAATGAGCTAGGGAATAATCCTAAGCATTAAATAATTAAAAATTATATTTTATTGACATTTTTACCTGTGATGGAACGAGCAGACATTGAAAAGGTGTGTCAAATGAAACTGTTGTGTTTCACCCAGAGACAAAGCAGCTAGGATTTCATCCTCAGTGGCTTGTTTATCATGACCAAGAGCTGGTACCACACCCCTGATAACATAGATGGTTTTAATTACTAGAAATTAAATGGTAAATCCTGCTCCTAACTCCTGAGACTTACTAAACTCTTATTCATCATTGTTAAATACAAAAGGTCAGGGAGTTATAGCCAGGAAAGGGGCAGGAAGAATGTTTTGAAGTGGATGCAAGAAAAATTAACAATTGAAACCACTTTAATTTACACTTTTTCTCAGTCTTCTGGAGAGTCTCCATACACAGAATTGGTAAGTATGAATGATAATCCTTCTCTGCTTTAATTTGTATAATTATAAGGAAAAAGTCTAATTCACATTCTGTTGAAAGCAGGAATGAGGAATTAACAGAGAAATGTCATCAAAATTAGCAGAGAAAGCAAACAACGGAGAGGCTCAGTATAGAACATCAAAGACATCAGTGTTAGAGAAGTCAAGCAACTCTATAATAATTTATATCTGTACTGTGATAACCTGACTCATTATCTGCTGATTGATAATCCTTCTTTGATTGATAATCCCTCCTTTCACATTTGTACACATAAGTATGTTTCTTGAGCTTTATCTTGTAACTTTTTTTCATTTACATGTATATATTCAATTTAATTGATTTAATATCTATTCACAATCCCATAAGCTGCAAAGAAAAAAAAAAGGTTTTATTTGTCATTATTATTATTATTATTATTATTATTATTATTATTATTATTATTATTATTATTAATGTCTGCACCTTTTCAGAAGACATTTTATTCTCTTGTAATCATTAGATGCTTCTGGGTGAGGACTGATTGTCATGATTTTTAAATGATGCATCTTTTCAAGGATCCGTTTAAACTCATCAGAAGTCATTTCATTGTAACTTCCTGGAAGACCACCAAGGTCTGTGATGATAGGTCCCTAAAAAATAACAACCAATCAAAATGGTAGCAAGCCACAAGTTTTAATTTGTTGTACTTTGCTCTCTTTGGTAGGCATCCATTTCTAACTTTTATATTATATGAAAACACTATTCAAGTTAAATCATGAAAAACAAACTCCTAGTAAAAATTTTAAAATTGTCATCTTGACCGTCATTTATTATTCACCTCTGAATGGATCCCTTCTAATACAGCCCCTTCTCAGTCAACAAGTCCTACATGGCTTTCCAGGGTGTTTAAAAGTTTGCCCATTTTATTGCTCAGAGGATGTTCTGGGAAGACAACTGTAGCCAGAAACGATGTTGTTCCACTTTGAGCTAGCTTAGCTCTTGTAAAATCTGCAAAGAAAAAAACACACTCCTTCATTTACTGCCAATTAAATTAATGCCCAAGGGAAATCAAACCAGCTTGATTTTGGTGGAGGATTTTCCATTTTTAACTAAAGAATTTCTAAAGGTAATGTTTTTCTGTGGAAATTTTGCGCATAAATTTCTGCATGGACATTTTTCAAGGAAACCTTTTAAAACTATTTTTTTCCATAGAAGGTTTCAAAGTGTTCTTACTGACATTAAATTACCTCTGGCTGGTTGTTATGTAGCTTTAGAGTTGTATGACTGTTACACTCATACATGATTATTAGTAACCTTAACCTACAGATATACTCACATACAGTTTGATAATGACACATCTAATGACAGTAGCTTCAAAAATAAAGGCCAAAAAACAAAAACCATTTATCACAAAACATACCTGGATTAAACCAAAACTCTGCAACATCATCAGCTCCTCCTGTAAATTAATCAGTCATGGGATTGTACCTGCCAATATGATCATTTACAGAAAGCATGCACTCTCTCAGAAGACACCAAATGGTATTAGACCCTGTGCTAAATTGACAACATCTTCATTTGGTAGGGGATTCCCCTGGCCACCCCCCACCCCCTCCCCTCCCCTTCCCTCCACCTTGGATTACAGTTTTGGTTTAGTTTCAGTAAAAAATATGTAATTTAATAAAAGGAATAATCAAGATAAATATATTATAAAGATTATTTTGCTATTTCATCCGCGAATTTGAAGAAAAACTAAGCTTACCCATTCCATGGTTGTGAATATCCACAAACCCAGGGGTGAGAAAATGACAAGTTAATTTTTCACTGCCACAATTTCCTGTGCACCTGTCAATCGCTGCAATCAAGCCTTTCTCTACAAAAACATCGAAAGGTCCTTCCTCGCATCGTCCCTGAGGAAAAACTACAATTTGCGCACAAATGCACAAAGGAGCGGCCATCTTTGAAGGCGTCCGGTCCGTGAAGGTCAACCGAGGGCACAGTGATCTGGGAACGGGATTGAACTTTGAGACCAGAAGCGAAAAGGATCCTGGGAAAGAGGTTACGTTGACAAGAGCGCCTGCGCACATTGGAGAAAACCCCGGCCGATGAAAGAGTTTGCGAGTTTGTGAGTTTGTGGGAAACTTCCTTACACTTTACTGAAGAATTAAAATGCTTTCTTCAGCTCTAAGGGTTGGATTTAGCCGGATTTCGATGGCTACCAAGAGGTGCCTCGTACCAACAATCAATGCAGGTATTTTTGTTATAGTACTTGATCATACTTTTCGTTCCTCGAAGACTTTCGTTCACGTGGAACTTGCAGTACGTGGATATTGTGGTTACACGCAAGGTGTTTAAAATAGTTTCACTGTATTGTGAAATTGCGTACCAAAGTTATAATTGTACAGAATGTGAATTCTGATTTTCAAATATTCCTTCGTATAAGAAAGCTGACGGGAACAAGTTTCGTGAAACCTGCATATCTTTTCTTGACAGTTCGAAGGTCACGCAAATAAAACAACCACACCGACAGTCCCACCCCCTCGGTAAAACCGGTTCGTTCGTTTTAGTGTTGTAAGCATTAGAGACAAATTGAACTGGCATGGCTGGATATTTTTTGGTTCCAAGCACATAACCAATAACAAGGGCAAAAAAATAAATTTTTATGAACCAGATCTAAGTTGTTGTGGAGATAGTTGCAATCATCTAAATGTGCTAGACTTTGGATTAAGCTATCTGGGTTCAGGTCCTGACCCAGCGACTTTGTTTTTTCTTGGACAAGGCATATTACCTTCACAGTACCTCTTTCCCTCCAGGGTGTGTAGATAAATATTGGTAATTTAATGCTGTTGATTATTCATTCAATATGTGTACATTTGTGATTTGCCAGAGTGATTACTTTTGGTTTGATATAGTAATTGGACCGAGTGGAGTACAATTCAGGGAGTAATAGGTGAGTAATTTCTAAATTGGATGAACTCGAAGCACGGGGCTGATTTGAAATTACTAGCATGATTACTCCCTGAATTGTACAACATGATGTCCAGTTACTAATTAATTGTATCAATAACAAATTTCTGAATTAAAAATGTCTTTTGAGAACTTCTTTTGAGCGAAAGTGTATGTTGTGCTTCTCATAAGTTTTGAAAACTGTAGGAGACATTACGAAGGAAGCCACTAAAGCGTGCGTAATTGAAGTGCCAGTCACATGGGTATCTAATTACAGGTATCTAATTACAAAAAGTTAAAATTGAATACCTGTAATTTGACACTCAGGTGATCGCGTGCCGATTACATGGCAAATAGTCATGTGGAGAACCAATCATGATTGTGAATTTTGTTATAGATATGCATGATAATGGCTTTAATTGCTCTTTGAATTTTCAAGTGCATGTACATGTAACAAGACATGCTACATGTATGCGGTTCTCTTTTGTGTTTTGTTATAATTCGAGTTATTGTTCATCTTACTTGAATCTCAGACGTCATCCTCGTGATGAATGGAAAAAAGTGTAGGTCTAAAAAATTGCTATATTTTAAACATTATTCATCTGATGTACTTTAAATGTCTTTATAGGTACATTCTCACGTTCCAACCAAACAGCAGCAGGTATTTGATTCTTTTCCATTATCATGGTCTTTTACCAATAGAAGAAGTAGCACAAGTGTATAGTACAATATGTGGGGAAAAGCAAAGGAAAATCACTTGACTGTACTTTAATTAACAAAGTGGTTTGTATGTAATTACTTCACCATGCAAAGAACAGAGAAATTATAAGAATATTATGCCAATATTCTTATATATAATATTATTGTATATAATATATAACATAATATTATATACAAATAATTTGTAAATACATGTATAATAATAAACACTCTTACATGTTATTGGATATTCCAGGCAAAATTTCTTTACTTGTGCCATCATTATACATGTATCATCAGCTCTTGCTAGTTCTGAGTTTCTCTTCTGTTTTAGTATAAATCTACTGGAGTTCTATCACGAATGTCGTTTTCTGTTTGGCTACACTACTCACTATCTATTCTGTGATAGATAGTGAGTAGCGTAGTAGTGTGCCCTTGTTAACAAAATGATGGCCGCTTCTTGAAGTTATCTAAGTGTCTGAAGAGGATTTAGATAAAGTTTTGAACAACTACGTGTAGTAGATTTATACTAAAACAATTAGATTATTTGCTCTAAATTTCTATCACATGATAGTTGACTCAGGCTGCGCCCTCGTCACCTAACACATGATAGAAGTTTCAAGCTCATAATCTAGTTGCTTAATAGAAGTATGGGTTTTTACAGGGTATTTTTCCATCAACATAAATGAGAACTTTCTTTATCTGCTTCACTTCAGGAGACAACTGTGTCAAGTGGCATATCAAAGATGGTGTAGCTGTCGTCAGGTTTGATACTCCAGACTCTAAGGTGATTCTTGTTTTGTTGTAATGCAGGCTAAAAGTCATGGAATGGTAATATTTTCACCAGCAAAGTATTCATGTAAGCGTGCTAGTTGACTTACACTGTGGCTAAAAGGTGTCTAACCTAACAACACTATACAGGAAAGGAAACCAGGCCCAAATGTTGCTCTGTTGATCGTCACAGGACTGTGGATATGTGTCAAGATTCGAAACCATGTGCCCTTCCCAGAGTTTGTCTAATCACACAATCATGTAGTTAGCTTCTGCAGGAATTATCCATTCACTTGGTGTGTCTCCAAACAGTTCATTGAGTGGTTACATGCAATTGAAGTACCTGCTATATAAACTGTGTTTTGTTTCTCGCATTAGGTCAATGTCCTGTCTGAAAAACTCACCCGAGAACTGGTTGAGGTAATTTAGCAATGTTTTATTTTGGGCTTAGTTTGTCATTTCTATTCTTTCTTTTAGCATCTTTCTGTGACTACGTTTTTACAAGTGCCCCCTCTTCTAATAATCAGTCAGCTGTTCTAATAGGCTTGTTCACAATTATGCATCCCTCTATTGCATTGATTTAAGTATTATGATTCACAATTTGGGAATTTAGTTTTATTATTGTGCTGAGATCTGTTTTAGAAACAATTTTTGCCCATTAAATTGGTACAGTAGTCGGGGGGCAAAGTTGGAAAAAATAATTCCACAGTTTGAATATTCACCCCACAATATGTGTGATGAACACCCTTCCTTTTCAATAAGCACCCAAGCACTTAATGATTATTGATACCAGTACAAACAGTTCCTTTCATGTTGATGATTTTATTAGGTGATGCAAGATGTGGAAAACAATCGAGAGGTGGAAAGTGTTGTTCTTGCATCTTCAAAACCAGGCTGTTGGATTGCTGGTGCAGACATCAAGTAAGGGATTTTGAGTTTTTCGTTGTTAATAGTAATAACAACAATGACGATAACAATAACGATAACAACTTTATTAACATGTCTTTCATTCTAGTTCTTGTTTCGAATGCTTTAGCAAAGTGTAAGAAACAGCCCATAAGCTAAACAAATAATACTTCTGAGCATTGTGTAAGATATGTCGATCAATGAAAACGCTATTGCAAGAGCATGTTGACAAAATATTGTATTGCAATAAACATTTCTTTTTTCCTAGCATGCTGCTTGCAGGTGACACCTCACAGAAGGTAAGTGTACATATACATTTGTGTTAACATTTTTCATTTCATTTATTCAGTCCTTCTGATAGGGTACGATAGATAACCAGAAATTAGGTGAAATTCTCAGGGCAGATTAATTATGTGAGTTTTTTCTGAGCTATTTTAAGCTTGTTTTACTAGGTTTCTGAAGAAGAAAACCACTTTGGGCTGCTCCAAAGACAATTTGAACTCAAAGAAACAACAATTAAACAGCGATGTGTAAATTGGGATAAAAAGAAGACTTAAGGTGCTTGTCCACCGCGAACTTCCGAAGATGATTGATCACAGTGTTGCATGATGAACAAAAGATCTTCCTTTTCTCTGTGAGGAAGGGGTATTTTGTTGCTCTGTCTTTCACAGTTGAATTTCGAGCAAGGTGCGATTTTGTCTTTCAGTCAAAGAAACAGTAGGCGCTTTCAGCAGAGACTTGTCCACGAAGGACATTTGTTTTGTATTCCACAAAAGAAGCTACAGTTTGCAGTCAAACTAACAATACTTGGATCATATTGTTTTGAAATGTACTCAGTCTGGTAATTCTGATTGGCCCAAGCAAAGAAAGGGATTGTCTGCATTACACCAATAGGCAATTCTTTGAGAATGAAAACAAGTACTACCGGTATAGCCCAGACAACCAAAACCACCTTGGATTGCTGTTGTTTATGGAGTCGATGGTTGCAGAAGGTTTTTGAGGTTTTTTCAAAGCCAGATCATCTTGAAATGCCATGTAGATGCAGGATTTTTCCAGATAAAATGTTAGCTAATGGTTTATTTTGTTAAAATTGAGTGAATTGTCATGAAGCATGCAAGTGAATTCATGAATTGGGTGGTCGGATGCGATTTGAGGTCGATTGTGTGAAGTGGCACCATTGTGTAATAACAGAAGGCCTGTTTATTGAGCTAGTTTTTATGTAATGAAAACCATTAATTGAACAACATGCAAAGTTGCATCTCATACCCCAGGGCTAGTGGATCTTGCAGTCGGGCTAGTGGACTGTATAGATGGGGTAATGGATTCAGTCCCTCACTTGCCCGATGGCAATGATTTTTTAGAACATTTGAATTACAGACGTACTTGTATAAGAAAGGAATTTCGGGGGGGCTAAAGGGAATGACTTTCAGGCTAGTACAGTGTACATCATAGTTACAGCTTGTCTGAAGGGCAAGCCTCCCCAAAATTATTTATTGTTGGAAGGTTTTTCTTCTGTTATCCTCTTTGTACCAAGTGTGGCACATGTGACCCCTGACCCTAAGGGTGGAGTCACATGCATATAGTTTAGTGGTTTGGTTGACCCCTAAGTTTGCCTTGTCCTTGGCCCAAGTGCATGATACAGATTTAACTCCAGGCTTTTAGCCAGGATTTGAAAAGTGGGCATCCAAAATGTGCTATAGGGCCTGCTCAAATGAACAATTAAAAAGGCAACATATGAAAAATAAAACGATTTGCTTTAATAAGTGGCCATCCACAGGATGCCTGGACATCCATGTGGCTAAAAGCTTGTTTCATTAGCTCTCTATCCCTCTCACTTAAGAAGGGTGCCCTGGTGGCTCCAAGGTGTTATGGATTTTTTTGAATGTTTGATGATTTTGTCATTGCGTACTCTTTTAAGAGGGTGGGTTGTTGGCTCATCATGTTACATCCCCAACACTGAGGACCAGATAGATAACTGTAACTTCAAATTACAAATCTGAGTTTCATTTCACCCTTAGGTGGCAGAAATTTCAGCCAATGGACAAAAAGTGATGCAACATATTGAGGTTTGTACATTGACAAGTGTGCTTTTGTACTAGAATGTTTCTCTTTCTCTCTTCCTGTATCATAATGTGCAATTTGTATTTCTGAGTAACAGACATCATTCTTCTCATGCTCAAAAATTCATTCTGTCCTTGCTGAAGTGAAGTTTTTAATTGGTGCCTCTCAACTTGAGGTTGATAAAAGTAAATTAACTGCTATTACAAGTTTGTAAAGTGGCTGCTTTGAGCATTAACCCTCTGTCTTTGCTCTGATGAAAGGCTAATCAAATAGACATCTTCACGAACTTGCTATGGCAATAGACCAATTTCAATAATATATTAAAATTCAACCTAACACAACAGACCTCAGCACAAGGCTCTGGGGAATAAACCCGATGAACTCTGTAGTTATTCCCCAGGGCCTCGTACTGAGGTCTATTGTTTTAGGCTGAATTTTAATATATCCATATTGGTCTATTGAATTTACATTATCAACTTCAAGTTGCTTTTGAAAAAATAGTTTGCTTTGATGAAGAGAGCTGTGAAACTTGACCAAGAAAATTCCATGCTTAGATGATGTGGTTCTAAAGTCACCTGTGTAGTATTTCTTTTTAATCTTGCAAGAGGTAAATTTTTGCATCTTATTTATTATCTTGACCAATATGAGAGATAACTTGTAGTGCAGGCGTTATTTTGGAGCGGAACAGTAGATAAATCAGGTTTTGGATGCCACCATCTTGGATTATAATGGGATGCTTGACCGTTAGAGGGTTGGTGCAGAGGCGGGGTGGGGGGTGGGGCACTTGAAATTTTTCCACTTAATGCCTACTCCCTTGGCAAATATATCCTCGCCCCAATCCTCAACAGTTACCAAATCCAAGATGGCGGCCTGATATGAAAATGTGCATTAAACACGCCCAAAATATGCCTGCACTGCAGACTACATTGTATATGAGAGACCACTCAGATATCTATCTAATCTTAATACTGCAGGATAGTGCCAAACCTTATATTGCAGCTATCATGGGAACTTGCCTTGGAGGTGGTCTCGAGGTAAAGTTTCAAAAGAAAAATTATCATGGCACTATAATTTTTGTAAATCATAACAGTTACTGAAAGATGTTGTTCATAGAGTCTTTGTATTTGTTGTACCAGCACCCGGACTTCTTCTTTACACTCCTTAGTTCCATGCAGAACATACATGTAAGTCTGTCACCATCACTTTCCATCTACATGTAATCCTGTTTTGGGCTGATTTGTTGGCAGCGGCCCAAGTCACATCTTTTTCCTTCAACTCTATCACTTGAGTGTGCCTCCATGACTGCATTGGCCTTCCCCTCTTTCATTTGCCTTGTGGATTCCACTCAACAGCTGCCCTGGCCATGCTACACCTTCAGGAACACATGGGCTTACTTGAGTAATATGTAGATGACACTAATGTGCCTTGAAAATGTCTTTTTTTTGTCAGCTTGCCTTGTGCTGTCACTACAGAGTGGCTGTTGATAATCCTGCCACTGTTTTGTCTGCCCCAGAAGTTATGCTTGGTTTGCTTCCTGGTGCTGGTGGAACTCAAAGATTGCCTAAGCTTGTAAGAACAGTTTTCTATTGTCGAGCTTAATAGATACAATCTTTGTCATGTTTTCAACATGGTTGACATCTTTGATCAAACCAATGATTATTAACATACATGTAAATTTAACATGAATATGGGTCCGTTCTGGTGTCTAATTTCTCAAGCAATGCCAAAACGAAATTGGAAAAACGAAACAGTCAGTATTTAACAGCTACATGTATTATTTCATATGCAGTAACTAAAAACACATTTTGTGCATCACATAATTATTATAAGATAATAAGAGAATGCTCTTAACAAAGTGTACTTCCTCGTTTTCTTAAACAAGCTGCAATGTATTTGTCATCACTGAATGTAAGACTGAGTTGGCTGTACTAAAAGATCGGGACGTAAACAACATGGGTTTTACTGGTCAGTCATTGTAAAGTAAGTTTGCTTCAAACAAAGAAAAATATAATTTTAAAAGAACAACTTTGGTTTTAAAGACTGGTGTGAAAGGCCCCTTCTGCAGTTTTAAATACTGCTTTTGAATAATTGCCATACATGTAGGTGACACTATTTTTGTTGTTATCGGTGCCTCAAAACATAAGTAGAGAAGTGCATGTAACAGATTGTGTCTTATCATGCCAAGTGGTTTTATTGTACATACATGTATCTGGTTTATTGTTGTATGATGTTTGACCATGATGACTGAGTCATTTGAGAGTCTCATCACCATTCTTCTACTGACAGGTTGGCCTTCCCGATGCTTTGGATATGATGCTAACAGGAAAGAACATCAAATCAAATAAAGCTAAAAGGATGGGCCTTGTTGATCAGCTGATCAAACCACTAGGTATTCTATTGTGACCAAAGAATTTATGATAACTTCTTACTGGTTTCCCATTGGTCTTTCTGCAGTATACAGTACACTGCACTCTGCTGTGTTTTGCTATGTGTCACAAGGCATTAGACATCGAGCTTTTCTGGTCTCATGCTACTATTCTCTACTCTATGACACACTGCTCTGTGCCATTCATTTTCTGCTTTGTCCTTCTCTATTCTACTGTACTGCACTTTGCAATTTGCACTCTGCTCTAAGCTTTATTCTCCTCTACTGTACTCATCTTTGCTTTATGCTTCTCTACTTTACCCTACCCTATCCTACCCTTCTCTACCCTACCCTACCCTACTCTACTCTACTCTACTCTATGCTTCACTACCCTAGCCTGCCCTGCCCTGCCCTGCCCTGCCCTGCCCTGCCCTGCCCTGCCCTGCCCTGCCCTGCCCTGCCCTGCCCTGCTCTGCCCTGCTCTGCCCTGCTCTGCCCTGCTCTGCCCTGCTCTGCCCTGCTCTGCCCTGCTCTGCCCTGCTCTGCCCTGCTCTGCCCTGCTCTGCCCTGCTCTGCCCTGCTCTGCCCTGCTCTGCCCTGCTCTGCCCTGCTCTGCCCTGCTCTGCCCTGCTCTGCCCTGCTCTGCCCTGCTCTGCCCTGCTCTGCNTTGAGACTCAGTTCTATTACTGTAATCTACTCAACCCTGCCCTGCCCTGCCCTGCCCTGCCCTGCCCTGCTCTGCCCTTCCCTGTTGTACTCTACCCTACTCTGCTCTGCTCTATTCTTCACCACTTTACACTACTCTGCTGTCAGTACCTCTGGGCTGAGTTGTACTGTTCTCTGCTTGCTCTGCATTACTCTGCTCTAGTTACAATGCAGTATTTTGCACTCTTGGTTCTACTGTCAACTGGATGAATGTTTTTGTTACTTTGTTTCCAGGTCCTGGTCTCAAGGCTCCTGCAGAGAACACCTTACAGTACCTTGAAGATGTTGCAGTCCAGACTGCTAAGTAAGTAACAAGGACATTAATAAAAATGTTATCATGTCAGTCCTTCCAACTGTCATGATTTTAGTCAACATCAGTGTTTTTTAAGAAAGTTAAACCAAATCAATGCACAGGACTGGGATGTGGTAGTAAGGTACAAGCATGTCGGTCTTTAAGTCAAGGGGTGTAGCATATCAGGCTACTGGTGCTTAGCTCTGATTCTGTCCACAGCGGGAAGCAATTTTTAGGGCTCACTTGCATGATGCTGTCATCTGACTACATTATATTACTACCAGAATTCACTTTGTTTCTCCTTTACTATTTAAATTTTTAAACCATAGTGTGGTTTAGATAACTTACAATAATTGTCATAATTAACATATGAGTAAAGAGAAAATGTGAAGGATTGTGGTAGTTGTAGTCAAATGATGCCGTAATGCAAATCACTTATTGGTACTTCATCTAGTTCATTACAAGCTGCCCACAGCATTCTCCCCCCCCCCCCAACAACTTCACTGCTATTAATTTTGTAATGAATTAAGGATACCATTAACCACTTTTACCTGTTCCATGTTTAGGAGTGTGGCTAGGGGTGCTATAAAAGTAGATAGGTCACATTCATGGGCAAACATGAAAGGTAACTTACATGTACAGTGCTGATAATTAAGGATTTAGTTAGTCTAGTTCTCAAACTGCCTTTATTGAAGTGTAGATATCAACTGTCAGATGGAACACGCATGCTAAAATACATGTAAGCAACAATTACTCATCATTTTGGAAGGAAAAAATTAAATGGTATAGATCCAGTTCTCATTAGCTTGCAATGTTGGACTAACAGAGCACAAAATTGAAGAAAATAGATTCCGCCATTCCTTATATCCTTCCTGAATGAGGCTAGGAATGCATACCTCTGCTGCAGGTAGTTGAAATCTGTAGAATTTTTATATCCAGTTCCTGATGAATCTGGTAACAATCTTTTAATTATGGACTTGGCTGCATTTGTGAGTACTTAGATTGGAGTTATTTTGATGACAGGTTCATTATGTGTTCATACTTTTCCTTTTAGACTTACAATACAAAATAACAACAGACACAGAATTTGGAAGAAACTATGTATTCAAGAAGGCCAAAGAGACGGTAAGTTGACCCATAACCAAATTTTAATCTTGTCCAACCATTCTGTTATCAAAGTACTAACAGCGCACATTACATGTATTCCAACCGTTTATTTTTTCACTTTTCGTTTTGTACTGTGTACTTCATAACTCCTATTCTTAGTACTAAATTTTCAAAGCTGTGGCTATGTAAGATTGGTGTAGTCCAACAGTGTCACATACATTGCATTTAGACTGTGCAGAAGAACATCTACATCCCAATGGGATTCAAATCCTGGGGTTTTTCACACACTGGTTTCACACTTGAAGTACTGAGCTACAAGAGATCTGTGGCAAGCTTTTTCTTTAACTAGCTGTATATTTTATGATGTCGCAGTGACAATAATGTTATCACCTAGCCAGAGGATTCATTAAGAGCTGGGTACTGGGCAAATTGACCAGCTGTGATGATAATTTTGCCCGCCTGATTTGACCATATAGAAGAAAGTTTTTCTTATATAGAAGTTGGGTTCAAAAAGTTTTGCCCACCTGTGAAAACCAGTTGCCCTCCTGTTGAAAATGTTTGTGAAACCCTTTACCAAGCTCACCAGAGTGTAACCTTTTATTTATTCCTTGTCAGGTTATGAAGAAGACAGGAGGTCTCTATCCAGCTCCTTTGAGAATTATTGATGTAAGTCAAACATTCCATGATCTCTTCTGACAGTTCAGAAGAGGTTTTTCCTTTACATTTTTTATGAAACTTGTTCAGATGGTGGTGGCAATGCTATTTTTTTTTTTGTTTCTTTAATGGACCAAATTGAGTTCAGTTTGTCATGAACACTTACTTTTCCTCGGTAGGTTGTTAAGAATGGTATGGAGAAAGGTCAGCCAGAAGGTTACAGGAAAGAGGCTGAGGTTGGTAATCAGCAGTGCTTATAATTACATGATCTGTAAGAAATAGAAGGGAAGTGTTTCCACAGCTTTTTCGAGTTCTCCTAAACTTTCACGAGTGTTTCTATAACTGGATAGAAAAACGGAGAACATGTTTTCTATTTCTTTTAGAAAACACCACAACAACAAAAAGAAAAACAACTTGTTAACTTTGAATATCAAAGTGTAAATTCTCATTGCTTGTGCCATCATTATGTCAACAGCTTGTGCTAGTTCTCTGTTTCTATCGAGTTAACACGATTTTTAACCAATCAGCGTGCATATTTTCTAAGGACTGTTTTCTAAAATACAATACAATAAAAACTTTATTGACACTCCTTAAAGAGGACTTTTCATGGACAATTGATGTAAATTTTAAAGTCAATGTAAGTGAAAATGATGGTGTTTGTAAAAATTACGATAATACAATGACAAATAGTACACTTATTACACTTGAAAAAAAAATACTTAGTGCTGATTGGCTAAAAAGGAGTTCAGGTAACACCAACACAAATTTTGAACATCAGTGCAAATTACAAGAAGATATCCAAAGTAAGTACGAAGACACTCTGAATAATTCAGAGTGTCTTCGTACTTAATTATTAAGCAATTTTAAGCAAGAAATTCTGAACTGAATAAAGGTCAGCTCAAGACTTCTGGCTGATAACAGCAAGCATTTGGCCACCAGCTTATACTATCATTTTTGGAGTCTATAGTGAAGGTGTTGGCCAATAATGCTAATATACTGCTTATGGTGAAATTTTGTGTATGTACAAGAATTTGTCCACATANCTCTTTGCTTCAATTGCATTTAGCCCCATAAGCCCCATACAGGGTTTAAAAAAACTTGAATTTCACCTTGCCCTTCAGACAAGCAGCTCTTAAATTTTGCATAATAGAAAAATGTCTATCTCTAAAAGAAAAAAAGATATTTCAAAAAGAAAAATGCCATTCTTCTGTATTTTGAAAGGCCTTTCTAGTAAGCAGAAATTATTTGTCATGTCATATACACTGTAAATGTAATTTATGTTTGTGAGCTAATAAAAAATATTGATTGATTGATAAAACATCAAACTCAAGGTTCACTTGGAGGGATTAGTTGCCTGATGAATAGTGGCTTGGATGCCAGATCAAGCAGTCTGAATTAGACTTGAATCCAGGGGTATATTAATCTGGAATGGACTACATGAAGTTTTATATCTAGCAAAATAAGCACCATTCTAGTGGAAAAAAATGTAGTTAAGCACCAGACTTGGCCTATCTAAAGTAAATAATAACAAAGTCATTGGTACATTAGTAATTATTTCAATTTGTTTTTCACTTTATCGGCCAATATATTATTCTCAACAACACTTCAAAAAGCTGTCAGTGTTCTTGTATTTGCTTCATATCATTGATAGTTTTGAAGATTCTACTGTATAAAATTCACTTATGGATCACAGTTATATTCAACCTCTTTACCAACAGGTTAGTCTTCAGAAAGGTCATCATGTGATATTGAAAGACAACATCCAAGAGGGACTCACACGTGGACAGGAACAAATCTTTAAGGGGTACGTCAGCAAAAGCACTGGAATCACATGATTTTTTGATTTATGTTATGCTATCTCTGCCATTCAGTTTTCAAATGTTTCTCTGTCAAACATTTCTTTAATTATTTTTCCTTAATTTTGTTTTCTCAGTGTTTGGTGATACTACATTTCAATACCCACAATGTCTTAGTTTATGGTTTTCATTATTCTTATCACTTGCTTGCTTGCTTGAAAGGAATAAATCAGGAATCTTTCCTCTTTACTTCTCTTTTCTATTGTCATGCAGAGTATATTGAATTGAATTGACACAAATGTTTTTTTTTTGTCCTGCAGATTAAATGGTCGTGTGAAGAAGAAGGCAATGACATCGTAAGTGCTGTTTACTGTAAATTACAATGTACATGTACATGTAGCTCCACCTTCACAAAATTAATTATCTTCCTTAAGGTCATTCCACTGAAATAGGACCTCCACTGAGATTTTTGTGAAACTTTGCGTATTGATTGTTCATATTATAGGAACTTAAATTTTGAAATAAAAATGAGGGGTCCCCATGTTCGTTTAGGAGCAACAGCACCTTGTTTNGTAGAACATTTTTGTTTCCTGTAGATTTGAGAGAGATCATATGATGTCTAACCTGTCTGCACAATTAGACTTCAACGTAAGCTTTTGATTTCTGATTTTGTTTTGTTTTTGTTTTTTGTTTCCACAAGAAATAACACTTCAAAATTTTAATTAAGACTAACTGCCTGTCGCCATGATCACATTCCTAATGCGCAGTGCCCTGATTATTCTCGAAATGCAGAACTTTCAGAATGCTGACATGGTGATTGAAGCTGTCTTTGAGGATCTCAACATCAAACACAAAGTTATCAAGGAAATTGAAGAGGTCTGGCCAATGGTTCTAATATGTAATTATATGACTGTATGATTAGGTAGATGGTTAAGTCTGCATCAGGCCAGTGGGCCATACAGCAGGAGCCTATCCCAGTTTCTGTAGCATGAAGTGACTAGGAGTATTTCTACTCCCCCCTGGATGGGATGCAAGTCAAATCGCAGGATTACCTCCTATTTGCTGGTATCCATTTATACACCTGGGTAAAGAGAGGGACTTGTCTTCGTCAAGAACATGATGCAGTGACCCCAGCCAGGGCTCAAATTTGGACCACTCAATCTGGAGCCCGGTGCAGTAACCATTTAGGCCACTGTGCAGCTACTACATAATTAAGAAGAGGTGGTGTTTAAAAGGATTCTTTTTCTTAATTAATTATAATAATTACTCAATAACTAAATGACATTTTTTGTTTTCATGCAGGTCATACCTGAACATTGTATATTTGCTTCAAATACATCAGCCCTCCCCATACATCAGGTTAGTATTACATGTATGTGATAAAAATTTAATGTTCTGCATATTTCTGCATTTCTAGACATTTCAATAATACTATGCATTGCTAGTAATTATTCGTTGCCGTACTTTTACATAATTATAAGAAATATTACATAAATGTTATTTTTTTAGATTGCACAAGCAAGCAAGAGACCAGAAAAGGTAACCAAGTAATAATTAATTATCAAATTTACTTTCCTGGAATGCATTAACTCTGTAACCTCAATATGGCTCAATAACTTACTTAGCTTTCTACATGTATGGTCCGATTTCATATGTCAAACATTTGCTCAGCATATTTGTTCTTCTGGCCAGTTTACTTGAAACATCTTACCAGGTTTTCTTATCCATCTTTTATGTAGGTTATAGGAATGCATTACTTCTCTCCAGTCGATAAGATGCCTCTTTTAGAAATCATTACTACAGATCAAACTTCTAATGACACAGCTGGTAAGAAGTGCTATTTTACTATAATTATTAATTATTTCATTGTGTAGTTTTTAAATGAACTTAGGTGTAAGATATGGTACATCTGGCTGGAGAATTTAATAATCATGTTGATTCCTTTGGCAAGACAATTTACTCTTCCAGTGCCTCTCATTCTCGTAATCCAGGAATTAAATGGTTACACAAAGGTATTAATTTGTTTTGAACTGTAATTGACAGCAGGGACTTATACATGGGGAGTGGTGAGACTTTTGTGACCACCCTAAGGGGAGATGGGAGGCTAGGATAGAATATTCAGCAGTCAGAAAGAGTATAATTAACCAGGGCATCAAACATCCGCAAGTCTCATATGCTTTTAAAATTGCTCAAATTTTTGTGAAGGTAGATGAGAGATTTTGTTTGTTTCTGATGCACTGTTTGCATGCCCCTACTATGTTTGAATTGCGGTATGCTTGTGATGTACAATGTAGTCAATGAAAGACATTCATATACAGTTTTAGTCAATACATGTATCTTGTTTCAGCCTCTTGTTGACTGTCCCACACATTTTATTCGTACCAACTTTCATACATTTAATTGTTGTTGTTCATTTTGATTTGTTTGTCTTGTTAAATCTTTACCTTTCAACAGCTGCTGCTGTTAGTGTTGGTCTGAAGCAAGGCAAGACAGTCATTGTTGTCAAGGTGATTGTAAATGCTTAAATTGTGATGCTTTTATAACTGAAATTAGCGATAGCAAAATTACTTCTTGGTGATTACTTTCTTAGCTTGTAGTCTCGATCAGCAAGGTTACTCACTGAATATTAAAGATCACAGCTGTATCAAGTTTTCAATTGGTATTTGCAAAAATAAAGTCTGAAAAAAAATTAGGCATTTTGACCTCAGCGGTATTGGTGCAGTGCTCTACCTACTGAGCTACACTGTATCAAGTCAACTGTGAGTTGGTCATGTCTCAAGGTCATAACAAACATGTAGATAGTGAAGATATGCAAGTGAATTATTTTGTTTAAATAAATGATATTTCATATTTAATAATTATATTGATTTCATGCTCTTGCATACATGTACATGTTTCATTGAAGACTAACAGCAAACATTTCTGGTTATTTTAGGATGGCCCTGGCTTTTACACCACAAGAATCTTGGCTCCAACATTAGCTGAGGCAGTAGCTCTTCTTCAGGTGTGCACATTACTTGATGTTATTTTATATAACAGGACCACCCAGTTCTATTCTTTTTGAGCTTCTTGTTTACAGTAAATTGGGAGCATACCATTTGATTACCTTTTAATATTATGGGTGACAAATTATGCTTACAATCGTGGGCTTTTGACTTGTTTACTGTATCAAGAAATTTCGCACCAAAGTTGCAATGGCAATTTTGCAATTTCACAAGTGAAATTAGAAATTAACGCTGATCAGAAATTTCACGCCAAAATTAGGGGGTAATTTGTCACCTATGATATTACAATTTTAATTAAATTTGTACCAATTAATTTCTCCTTTTAGTAGAGAACGTAATAATTTCTTTGTCATTCATCTTTTGTTGTAGGAAGGAGTAAGCCCAAAGAATTTAGATAACCTTACCAAGTCATTTGGTTTCCCCGTTGGATCAGCTACTTTGGCTGATGAGGTAGGAAAATTGGTTTTTGTAACTACA